TGCAGAATGGGTTGATTAATCGCAGTCGGGCAGAGTCTCTGGATTGGATCTCTTGTTACTTCCCTTTCTTCCCGGTACCAACCCATATTTATATGGTCGGTACTCCACTATGTAAATTAGGTGGACCGTACCACAACATATATATATATATATATATATATATATATATATATATATATATGCTTAGTTGGTTTAGACTTATAAGTTTGTTTGATTATTTATATACTAACGTGACTTTTTTTATTTTTACATGATAATGCCACAATTCATAGCCAGAGCTAACATTACCGAACCTATTTTTTCAAAAAGTTGGGGCATTTCCTCATTTTGCCTTGGCAGAAAAAGTCTCACTTGACCAAACCTTCCCATCACTTTTGGATTGGATGTCTTGGCACCATTGAATGGAAACCACCTTTACCCAACTTAATACCAGTGGAATTCATTTGGCGATGGCGTAGTGAAAAATAAGGTTTAAGAGAAAAATCATCGCACAGTAAACGAATTAAAAGAGTTAATATTGGAAGCATTTATTGACATTGCGATTTGTCTCGCACTGCGTGTCACAGTACCTTGGAGAGGTTGAAGGAAAGTTGTAAGGTTGAAAGCAATTACGAGATGAAACAGGGTTAAACAAATCTAATTGTAATAAATAAATGTAATAAAAATTAAAAAATAAACTGTAAACTGCATACCTATTTTGACCCATCCTATATATATATATATATATGTGTGTGTGTGTGTGTGTGTGTGTGTGTGTGTGTGTGTGTGTGTGTGTGTAAAACGTTCTTGCTTTCCATTAGAAAATCTTTCATGTCAAATTTGATTTTATAAAATATGTGGCAAGGGAAAATATATTTAGAATGATTCATGTCATTTGATGATTATATCAGTTTGAGTAGAAAAAAAGAAAAATATTTTAAAACAGCTTTCAAAAATGACTCGAGCTGTTGAAGATCGAACTCAGATCATCTAATGTGTGAACAGAAGTTAGAATCGAATACAAGAGTAGGCTGAAAAGTTTATAGGCTGAGGAGTGATCCTAGAGCTGTGAAACCTTGCATGCATTCATTTCAACTCTTCTTATTAATAACTACATTGTTTCTTTCCAGGTACGAGGGTGGGCTGAAAAGTTCATAGGCTGACTATGGAAACCTCTTTGAACAGTAAGATGTCAGTTTACATAGAAAAAATGCAATTATTAATAAAAATAAATGAAATTATTTCATAGTCAACTTAAGAACCTTTCAGCCATCGTCGTAAGAAATATTTGCTCTATGGTGACTCCAACTTGCACTGGGATCATTCCAAGAGACCACAATGAAAAGTCTGGTGCTTCAGTGGGCTGATTTGAATGGTATTATGGTAGCAGGTGTACATTCTCATATTATGATTTGACCTAAACATGTATTTATTTTCGATAAAGTTTAAACTTCGTACACAAAATGGAACAGTGTCACAAAGGGACGATTTTTCTCTCGACACCGCTATTATTTTGTGCTACCTGCATTCCCTCTGCAATTATTTTTCGTTTTAAAAATCTTTGAATAGAATTTTAATAACGCCCAATCATGAAACTGCATTTATATATTTCATTTGCCCTTTGAAAATTTACAACAAAATACTAGACAATATTTATTTATTTTATTTATTTATCTTAATATTTTATATATTTACTATTTATTTTATTTAATTATTCTATTTATTTTTTATTCACTTATCATTTATTTTATGTATTTATTATTCATTTTATTTTATTTAATTTATTTATTTATTTTCTATTTTATGTATTTATTTATTTATTATTTATTTTATTTATTTTATTTACTTATCATTTATGTTATTTATTTATTCATTATTTATTTTATTTATTTATTTTTTATTTATTTATCATTTTTTTATGTATTTATTTATTATTTATTTTATTTAATTATTTTTATTTATTTGTATTTACTTCTCATTTATTTTATTTAACTATTTATTATTTATTTTATTTAGTTTTTTAATTTATTTATCTTTTATTTTATGTATTTATTTATTTATTATGTTTTTAATTATTTTATTTATTTTTATTTATTTTATTTATTTATCATTTATTTTATTCATTTATTTTTTATTTTATTTATCTATTTTATTTATTATTTATTTATCATTTGTTTATTTATTAGCTTGTTTATCTACAAGAATAATTTCAGACTTTCCTCGTTCTAAAAACGCGAACCAACTATACAATGCAATATTTAACATTTGTCAATTTATAATGAAATAAATACGAAAATATTTTTTATTCATAAACTTACAAAAAATGATATAAAATCTTTATATTTATAATTTTCATAACTTGAAACCGTTCCAAAGAATACATTTTGTTGAAAATATTTTTTTTATATATTTTTGAATAAAAAAGATTTTTTTCCACTTAATTTCTTTAAAAAATGATAAATAATATATATATTTTTTTTGTATGTATTTTATCCCTAGCAAGGTGGGGTTGTCACTGTGCAACATGGGGTTACATAGAGTGAAGGCGAGAGAAAAATTTTGTAAAGTGGAAATGAAGAAAGGATAAAAATGAACATGGTTCAATACATAAGAAGATGGCGATTGAAGTTGCATTTAAATTTTTGAAGATAGTAGTTAGTTAGGGAAGCAAGTAAACGAAAGGGAATTTCACAGGCGAGAAGTGTGAGAAAAGAACTTGTTGAAGAATGGCTGTGTGGGACCTAGATGTCAGTCTAGTAGCACGCTTATGTTTATGTAGTCAGTGCACTAAGGAAAAATTCTCGACAGTAGCCATGGAAATATTTGTAGAAAAGACAAAGGGAAGCCAGATCATGTCTGTGAGAAATTGACTGAAGTCGAGATGCCATGTCAGGATCGATTACATTGGACATCCTTAAGATGAACAGCTGGGACACCAGATGAGATATGGCAACAGTACTCAATGCACGGACGAATAGTTGATTTATAGATATGTAGGATAGATTCTGACGAGAGAAACCTTCTGGCACGGCACAGTGAGCCAAGTTTCCTTGCAGTAGATGCAGTTATTGATTCAATATAGTTGTTCCACTTCAAGTCAGTCGAAAGCGTCAGGCCAAGAAGGCGCAGTATAACAATCTCCTGGAGTCTAGCATCAACCATGGTAATGGCAGGCGG